CCTAACCCTAACCCTAACCCTAACCCTAACCCTAACCCTAACCCTAACCCTAACCCTAACCCTAACCCTAACCCTAGCCATGCTGGCTGGGGAATTCTGGGAGTTGAAGTCCACTCATCTTAAAGTGGCCAAGTTTGGACAACACTGTTTTAGAGGGAAGGCAGATTCAAAAATATAGACAGTCTTGATCAATGGGCTAAAATGAATAGAAGTTAACAAAGAGAAGTGCAAAGTTCTATGCCTTAATTTATTTGGCTTTCTTAATCATTTTCTCTTATTTGCATAATGTGGCTTACCCTCCATACGGTGTACCAAAAGTCAGACCCCATAGACAATGTCAGGCCCCACTGACAATTTATTACAGTATTTCTCAAACTTGGCAGCTTGAAGGTGGGTGGACTTCAACTCCCAGTGTTCCCCAGCCAGGCTGAGGGCACTTACCAGAGTGACTTGTGACCTTCCCTGCTGGCTTCCCCCTTGACTTTGCTTGTTGGAAGCTGGCAGGGAAAGTTGCAAATGGCGATCACGTGTCCCCGGGGCACTGCAACCGTCATAAGTGTGAGCTGGTTGCCCAGTGCCTGAATTGTGATCACATGACTGCAGGGGCTGGTGTGATGGCCAGAACTTCAAGGACCAGTCATAAGTGCCATTCGTTCAGCACCATCGCAACTCTGAATGGTTGCTGAGTGAGTGGTTGATAAGTGAGGAGTACCTGTATTCTCTTTCTGGGAAACAGATGCCAAGGGACTGATTATAATGTGAAGAAAGCAGGACTCAAAACTTTGCAGAACTCTTTGCCTTGGTGGGATGAAGAATGTTCTATTCATGCTCAGGAACACCCTTTTCTTGAGGCAATTTTCAAAAGAAAGTCACTAAATTTGGAATGGACAATTCTTAGCTCATGAGATGCATAAATGCCAACTGCCCTATTTTGGTGGTCCCCAAACCACCCCCAGATTATGCTGCTGGATTTAACTGGGCAAACTATCACCTTCCAGTGGTATGAATTCATGCATTATTTGACAAAGAAAGTGTGCAAAATAGGTTTGTTCAGCCTCCATGAAACTAAGTGCAATTTTGCACCTTAAAACACAACTTTTCCAAAAAGTAAAGAAAAAAAATCTTAAAACATTCAGCTTTGTCATCATGGGGACATGAATCTGCCAAACGACATCACTCCCTGCAGGTTCCTCTGCTTCAGAAAGATTGCATACCTCTTGAAAAAGACAGAAAATTGTGGACTGAAGCCTCAAGGTCGTAGCCAGAAATTTACTGAAATGACGGCGGCTGGAATTGATGGTGAGTTGGTAAAACAGACTCTGGGGGAGACCCTACGGCTTTCTATCTGGGACAAGGGTGAGCAAATTTGGGGTGCCAAAAGCCGGACTACAGCAGATGGCAGGAAAGAGATACAGATACATTAGCGCCATCCAGAGGTCACCTGCTCATTGACAGCCCTGGTCAGCTAGCACCAGCACTAGCCCCAGCGGGCTGGAGAAGAGTGAAGGTGGGAGAGTGGGAGACGTAATGCAGGGGGATGCCCAGGCTTCTTAAGGGCTGAAAAGAGGGCAGCTTATGAGCTTCTGAAACCCAGCAGGGAGTCCGTCCAGGAGAAAGGCTGTAGCAATCACGGGCTGGTCTGCAACAGGAAGAGATAGGAAAGCACTTTCCTGAGAAAGGGCTGGGAGGAAACAAAACTAGGAGGGACCCCACTGAGCCCTGTTCTGCGAGACCTTGACCCTGTTTGCACAACATGTTAGAGTAATACGGAATCTGGTAGACTCTGAATTAACCCACGTTCTGGGTTTGCACAATGCACTGAGTCATAAGATGAATGGGCTGGCTTTGCACAATATCCTAAGATACAACAAGCCTCAGACTAAGCTAGCCTGACATGCAGCCGCTAGGTTTTCACTCTCTTGGATAAACGCCCTCTGTGAGCCCAGGCACCGGGTGATCGCGCAGGGCTACCGCACAGGGCTACCGCACAGGGCTACCGCTCAGGAGTCCTGGAGTGTCTAATCAGCCTATCACTTATGGTAGAGAACTTTTAAATATAAAAGAAAAGGAGCAGCAACAACTTTTAAAGTAACCAAAAGAAAAAGAGAAGCAGCAGAAGCCAGGCCCTGCTACTCTCTGCTGAAAATATGTAAAGTGTTAATTTCATCCCTTTCCTCGAAAAGTTTCTATTAAGAGTCTCGCCTAGCCACATGTCACTGGAAAAAACAACCCGCCAGCTACTTTTTTGATAACTCTGACCAAGCTTGGAGGCCTCTATTCATAACAAAAATGTTATTTTTAAAACAGCCCCTTCCCTTCCTTGGTTTGGCTCTGACAGGGGTGTGTCTGTGTGTGTCTGTGTGCACACGCGCATGTGCTCTTCCAAGCAGCCTGAGTGAGATGAGTAGCCAGGACCAGCTGATCCTCTTGATGGCAAACAGCTTCTGATCCCTTGGGCCACCTTTGCGGTCAAAGGTTTAAAGGTCACCCCAGGGGAATGCACATTTATCTGTTCCAGTCCAGCCACGGAAACTGAGAAACCAGTCGCTTTCTTCCTCCCCTGAGTGCCGCTCAGGGTCGCCTTTCTGTGAGATGGGCAGGTATCCAAATTTGATTGACAAACCAACCAACCAACCAGCTTGCTGTCTGTTGCCACTTGCTGGAAAGCTTAAGTTGCTGTTCTTTCGAGCAGCCGCTTAAAAGTAAAGGCTTTGGGGATAATCGCTCCTTGCAAATACTTCTGAGCGACCTCCTTGTTTTGTCCAGACCAATCAGTGGGCCTGCTGGAGAGAAGTAGGATTGGTGAAGTATGATGTGGTCTTCCAGCAAGCCATAGTTGCTCCTGGAGAGCAGGGCTGAAGCGGAGGATTGGGAAAGGCTGCGGAGTAAGTGGGAGAGTCAGGAAAACAGCCACCCTCTTTGGATTTCAACTTTTCCCCTCTCCAGAAACAAAGAAGCCTTTTGGGATGTGGGGACCTTTGAGGGACTCTGCCAATGGATTTGCTGGGGGAAAAGAGACTTCTCTAGCTACAGGAAATAATGTGAGAGAGAACCCTTACTCAAGGGTTAAGTATGCATTAGGGGTACTGTGTATCGTGCTGATGACGTTCAAACCTGGGGGTGATTAAGCACACCAGCGGATGGCAAGGGCTCTCTTGGACACCTTCTGTTCCAGGGCTTCGCTCTTGCCCCTTGCCTTGGCCAAAGCCCCTGAAACACACCTTTGAGTTGTGAGACATGTGACATTTGAGCGAACTTCTGTGAAAGAACCTTTAAAAGATACTTAAAAGGAGGAAAG